GTTGAAAAGTGCTGTCTTATTCAGTACTTTTTCAAAATGAGCTCATTTAAAACTTTTCTTGTGTTTGACCAACCATGTAATATATATAGATTTCTTCATGGAAAGTGTTGACGTACGGGATTTTCGCACGAGTTGGTTTTGAATCTAAAATTCATCACCAACTCGTGCGAAAATCCCGTACAAAAGCACTTTCCATGATGAAGTTTGTTTATTATATACATACTGAGATTTTATAGCGTCTACTTAAGCGACTTTTGTGCATTTTGATGACGGTTTTGTCTTACAAACTCGCTTTAATTTATTTACGATCAAACTACGATACAATTTAAATGCTGAATTAGATAATTATAAATAAGTAAATCACATCAATAACTTAGTTTACAGTCAATTTTCATTCACTGACTATGATAAAAATAACGAAAAGCTGCATTAGAGGAAAGTGTAACATTAACCTACAAACCTTAATCAATGAAACTGTTTACTTTCTATCGCCGTCGTCGCAAATCAACTTTTATGGACGCGTTTTATCCATAYAATAGTGTTCTGTTTTCTATACTTCTGTTGAAGATGAAGTACATCTAGGACTTATATCTAATACTGAGAAATTTGCCATATAAAATCCAGCTTCTTTGAACAGTTCTACTGCTGGCGACGGTGGTTGACTTGACAAGCGCGGGTTTCAGTTTCAAACATCGAAGTTGTGCTGGAACTGAGTGGGTTTTCGCTGTGGTCTTGGGAAATATACTGGGAATATTTGCATTAATTCTTTTATAGCGGAGCTCCCGCGCGGGCCGAAGGCCCGCGCGAGCGGAGCACCATAGCTAAGAAAAAATGGTATACTATCGAGTCGATTTTCCATGGACCGACACAGGGTTCCCGCGCGTACGCACGTTTCCTTCCGTCCTTCCGTCCCTGTACCACCACAGGAAACCCATACTCCGCTCWAAAAGGAAACAAAGCGCCAAGTATTTGTTGAAAAATCGAAATTTTTTCCTTAAACATTTATATTACATATTGATAATATTAGAACAATTAATAACAAGGAAAAAAATCCACTGAAGAGCGAAATAACAACACAGAAATATTCCCGCCAATTTTGTCATAACTTCGACGCGTCCGCACATCCGGGAAATCGATTTGCGAAGATGAAAAGCAATTTAGGCCCATCTTAAAAGTGATATTAGAAAGAAGGATTTTACTTTGATATTTCGACATCAAAAAGAGATGACACTTTATTGGAAATACTTCAATAATATGGACCAATATGGGAAAAAGCAGGGATCTATGCGAAGAGATGATACTTTATTGGAAATACTTCAATAATATGGACCAATATGGGAAAAAGCAGGGATCTATGAAAAGTTCTTTTTTCGACTAAAAGTGTGGACATTTCGAAACCAAGACCATGTTAGCAGTTAGATTGAGAGAGATTAAAAACAAAGAATCTACAGTCTTGAAGGACTTAATAAATTGATGAAACCTATGCTTGAAACAATTATGGCTCTGTTGAAGATGACGACCTTTGAACGATAATTTATCGGAAGTTCGATAATGAAGGTAAAAAATATATTTTTGTATACAGTTTTCTGTGATTATGTGAAGTTCGAGTAGTCCGGGTTCAAACATCGATTATTGAAACATTGTTGATTATTGTAAGCTTATGTAGACTACTTTTTGCCGAGAAGCTTTCAGTTTACTTTTAATCAATTGACCTTTATAGATTATAATTTTAAACTTCATCCAACGGAACAAAGTCTACCGAAGTCAATATTAGTACGAACTAAATTCTCATAAACATACTCTTTATAATATTTGTTCGCATGTCAACAAAACTGTTGTAGCTCACATTCCTTAGAACAGTGCATCTACCTTTGAAATAGCAGTACTAGATGATCATTTTCAGCTTCTATATTGGTATTGGAGCTCCGCTATTAGGTGTTACCTAATTTTTATATTATGTCGATTAAAACTTGAAAATATATCTTAAGGACCTGCTGGTTCAGAAACTTCAGTGTCTTTAGGCTTCACAATCATAATGAAGTCGCAGAGATGTCAGAGATGTATTCGTTCAGCTATTTTGGCTTTCGGTCTCTTGGAATTGGATTTCTTTGCTTAAGACTTTTTCTCTCGGCGGAAATTCATCGAGTTAGCTTTTCATCACTCGCCGTTTTAGCTGTTGAATTTCTGTTTTTCTCCTCACAATATTAGTTGTAAATTCTCTTTCTAAAATGCCTTGTCTCTAGTCATAAGAAGCTTGAAGTTCTTGATTGAATTCCGTGGTACGTTTGGACGAAACGCTTTTCGCACGTGTGAGAAATTCGTTTCGCTCCTATGATTGGCTAGTTAATATTTTGAAACGGATTTTCAAATAGAAATATATGTGAGAAAATCTCAGTATGTATATAATAAACTGTCTTTCTCAATTTTCAAAAATAGTTCCACCGAGTTGACGCTCTAATGATGGTCTGGTTTAGATGTAAAGAATAGTGCTACCAAAGGCATGCAGTTCATCTATACTGATAAATCACAAAGTGATTTGAAATCAAACTATATTAAGAGAAAATATTTGTGAAAGTAACTCCTTGTTGATTACTTTTCATGTAATATTTAGCAGCTTTTGAATGAACTAGATATACAATAATTTTTGACAAATCTTTAAAAGCGTAGAATCAAATCGTTCACTCTGATAGTCTTTCGCGTGAAACATAGTAAGAATATTGTAGTAATTTAAAGGTCAAGTATACTCAGAAGTACATAACCAGAAGTGTCCATCTCCACAATAATATCGACACCATCAGATGTCCCGATAATCTATTTTTAGACAACCAATCACAACGCGCGCACATATTACACGGCACCTGATTGGTCCTTGTTGATCTACTTCAAGAGCGAACAAGAAAAAGGAAAATGTAGTCGATAGAGGCGAACGAAGTGAAGTTTGCATTACAAGAATTTTACACCTTTTGCTGAACAACCATTTATGAATTTGGTAGAAAACATTCTTTACTATATGAGCAACGTAGCGAAGGTAGTTCAAGAACAATATGGTCTACGAAAACAAGGGAAAAGTTCAGACATAGACGAAGAAAAATGTAAAACAGCGTGCTAAGAAAAGTAGTGTAAAGTAGCTTCCTTACAGTCAAATAGAGCTRRACTTAAACAAAGCCAAARGTWAAGTAATTTTCGACTGTTAACGTGAGATGGAAAAGCTGTAAATTTTYAGGTAGRCGGRVTTTGTTTTGAAATTCAAGTTAGTTATCGATATTTCTTTGACGACTTCTTGCTGTTTGTGGCTTTTCATAACTTATCTTGTTTATTGTTAACTTAAAATTCGACATGATTTCGTTATTACACCGTGTACCCTCTGTACCTATTCGCTAGTTAGTTTATTCCTCACTTTTTCTTTCAAAGAACAACTCCTTACACAATGAAGAGTTCACAATTTAATTTGAACATCGTTTTGCTAAAAGAGTTTTTGATTGACTTTTTGTGACATTTTTCGCATCGTTTTGTATTAGTTTTCCCCTTTTT